CCTTTTGTTTCTCTACAATACAACTGCCTGCCAAGGTTTCCTGGGCTCCAAACTGATACAACGATGAGGACCCAGAAGCTTCTCTAGGTTCCCCTTTCTAGTCTTTCTGCTACATCCATGTGACCTCTTTTCGTACTTTATTCACCAAATATTTACTGACCACCTACAGTGTTCAGGATGATTTAGATGCTGGGGATATAGTAGGTTGAACAACAGAGACTTAAAAAAAAAAACTTCCCTCTTGAAGTGTACATTCTAGAGAGGGGAGATCAAGATGGTGATAGCACCATGGAGAAAAATAAATCCGCATAAGCATAATGGTACAGGGGCAGGACTGTACTGCAACTTTAAATACAGGTCAAAGAAAGTGACATTTTAAAAAATTTTATTTAACTATAGTTTGCATTCAACCTTATTTTGTGCTAGTTTCAGGTGTACAGGTGACATTTTTAAAAGACCTAAATGGAAGTGAGAGTGTGATCCACATATCTGGGTCCATTCCAGTTTATGGTTATTGTTTGTTAATAGAGCTCTCTTTTTCTCTTGTAAGTGCCCAATTTGGACAATAAATTATATGGTCACCCTATATCAGAGCATGGTAGGTATCCACATGTATCTGTATTTATTTAAAACTGTGAGATAATGAAATTTATCAGCTTTTTTCCCCTGTAAGATGAGAAGCCATTAGAGTTCATAAACAAGAGTGAAATGATCTGGTTTACATTTTTGTTGTTGTTGTTAATCCTTACATGAGGATACTTTTCCATTGATCTTTAGAGAGAGTGGAAGGGAGGGAGGAGGGGAAGAGAGAGAGAGAGAGAGAGAGAGAGAGAGAGAGAGAGAGAGAAACATCGATGTGAGAGAGACACATTGACTGGTTGCCTCCCACACGTGCCCCGACCATGGCCTAGGCTGGGGATCTAACCTGCAACTGAGGTATGTGCCCTTCACCAGGAATCAAACCTGAGACCCTTTGGTCTGAGGGCAGACGCTCAAACCACTGGGCAAAATCAGCCAGGGCTGGCATTTCCATTTTAAAGTAACACACTCAATAAAGACTATTTTGAAAGTAGAAAAACAGGACCTGCAGATATGTTATCCAAATAGTTAACAGCCAAATGTTTTCTTTTTTTTTTCTTTTTATTAATCCTCACTCGAGGATATGTTTTACTGATTTTAAAGAGAGAGAAAACATCGATCCGGGGATCGAACCCAAAACCCTTCAGTGCCACAGGACAATGCTCCAACCAGCTGAGCCACACCAGCCAGGGCACAGCCAAATGGTTTTTCATAGGATAAAAGAAAGAGAGATGGTGGTGATGTTCAGATTTTTAAAAGAAAAACGTCTCCCTCTCCCTTCTTCTCACTTCAAATATTTGCACAGCATCTCACTTGGATGAGCTGTTTCTGAGTTTCAGGCAAGATCCAACCTCGAGGGGTCCCTCTGTTTTATTCCTCACAGAATACCCCTCTGTTCTCTCAGTTCATTGAGCACAAACCTTGGTGATTTGGGAGAGAACACAGTACCCTAAG